GCCCATCTAGTGTAGAACTTCAGACTACAACTTTTTTTTTTTGGTCTTTTAATAGTTATTCATCGAGAGCATCACTGATACAGTCATTTCTGATAATCAGTTCATAATTATTCCTCCTCCTCAGGTCTCTCTCCTGACCTGCAGTCGATGGAGCAGATCCGGAGGATCATGAGGCCCACGGACGTTCCTGATACAGGTGTGTGTGTGTGTGTGTGTGTGTGTGTGTGTGTGTGTGTGGGAGTCTGAAAGTCTGCTACCAGCAGCTATTTATAGTTTATTGATTAACATCAGTTAATACAAAAATGTGTAATAGAAAAATGTTTCTCAAGGAAGCTCCTGACATTGTTCACTAAAAATAGACTTTTTAAGCGTTGGTTATTGAACACTTGAATTAGCCTTAATTTAATTGTATTTTTCATTTGACTAATTGGCAACATTTAGATGATTAGGCAATCTCCACTCCATTAGCTAATTAGGATCACTAATGAAGTTAAATACCTTAGCTTGTGTACTTTAGTAAATAACAGAACTAAATGTGTTTATGTTGTTTAATGTTTAGTCCAGAGTTTGTATTTGTATGTATAGAATTGATGATAACCAGGTTTGGTGTGTATGTTGTGTGTGATTTCTCTCGCTCTCTCTCTCTCTCTCTCTCTCTCTCTCTCTCTCTCTCTCTCTCTCTGTAGGTTTGCTGTGTGATTTGTTGTGGTCAGACCCTGATAAAGACGTGCAGGGTTGGGGAGAGAACGATCGGGGTGTGTCCTTCACCTTCGGAGCCGACGTGGTCAGCAAATTCCTCAATCGCCACGATCTGGACCTCATCTGTAGAGCGCACCAGGTAAAAACTTCCTCAGTTCTCACTTCTGATTGGTCAGAAGGTGTTGATTAATTTTCTATAACAGCAGCTCTGACAATCACAGGTTTATATGTTTAACTGTTGTTGTTTCTACAGTAACAGCACATTCACAGGGACTTGTGTAGCGGATTATTTCTGATCGTTTCTCTCCGTTACGTGTAGGTGGTGGAGGACGGGTACGAGTTCTTTGCGAAGAGGCAGTTGGTCACTCTGTTCTCAGCGCCGAATTATTGTGGAGAGTTCGACAACGCCGGGGGCATGATGAGCGTCGACGAGTCCCTCATGTGCTCCTTTCAGGTACATCACACACACACACACACACACACTTTTTTTATTCTTTCAGTTTTTGGTTTCTTACATTTGTAATTTCATACTGTTCACTGAAAAGAGGAAATCATATTTAGTGACTTCACTGAAAAAAATGAAAGAATAATTAATTATAAAATTATTGCTCAGATCTCTCTTCTTTTTTTTTCATATTCTCTCTGTCTATCTTTCTTTCTGTCTCTCTGTCTTTGTTCTTCTATCTCTGTGTGTGTGTGTCTCTTTTCTCTTTCTTTGTTGTTCTGTCTCTCTCTTTCTTGTTGTCTGTCTCGTTGTGCCTCTCTCTCTTTCTTTCTATCTCTCAATCTTTTTGTCTCGTTTTTTTCTTCTGTCTTGGTCTTTTGGTCTTTCTGTCTCTCCATCTCTTTTTTTTCTCTGCCTGTCTTTCTGTTTCTCTCTCTCTCTCTCTCTCTCTCTCTCTCTCGCTCTCTCTCTCAGATTCTGAAGCCCTCAGAGAAGAAGGCTAAGTATCAGTACGGAGGTGTGAACTCGGGCCGCCCCGTCACACCTCCCCGCACCACACAGGCCCCGAAGAAGAGGTGAGCGGCCTGCCCCGCCCATCCAAACCGCCCCCCCAACATACACAGCCTGGAGGCGGTACTTACTCACAATCAGCCTCTCTCCCTCTTCCCCTACTCTTTTCTTAATGTTGGTGTACATAATTTTTTGCCGTGATCAGGTGATAAGCGCTTTCTGTATGTCTCTGCCTGTTCAGTGGTATTTTTAATAATATTCATATTAATAATTACATGGATGCGAATGGAGGATTCCCCCATCTCTCTCTCTCTCTCTCTCTCTCTCTCTCTGACGCAGTATTGACATTAATATCGATGTAACAGTGATTTCTACATAGGGTGTTTAGTTGAAGAATTTAAACCGGGGGCTTTAAGCTTAAAGTTCGTCTTTATCAGTATACACACGCTCTGTTTTTACTCACGTGACTCTGAAAAGAGTGCATTAAGATGTACAGCGCACACACACACACACACACTACGCACTACAGTGTGACGTAATGCAACCTCGTTATAAGACCAGGCTTCGGTATATTTTTATCCATCCACCAGTGACTCAGAGGCCGAGCGAGCGACACGGAGAGATAGGACGAGCGAAGGAGGGAGTGAACGACACACAGAATGAGATGTGCGTGTAAAGAGTATTTCAGTGTCGCTGTGAGGAAATAAAATGATTTTCCACAGACATGGTCATGAATCTGCTTTAAAAAGCGTTCTAATCTGTACCTTTCTACCTAATCTGTAAGTTGTGCTGATGCTTTGCATGGCATAAGAATAAGCTTTTTGGGTTTTTTTTTTTAACTCTTGGCTCTGAGAAATTTTTTTTTTTTTTTTTTTTTGTAAACTATCCAACATCAAATCCTTCATGCCACAATACAGACAAATTGTCATAGACGAGGATATAAACCATATGGTGCAACCAGATGAGACTCAGAACAGACAGACATTTTGTAAATGTGAACATTTTCCTTAAATGAGATAAGACTGGAGTTATTCTTGGACCCCTGATGCTAATCTCAGCGTGTATATTTCTGCCACTAACTACGCAGCTAGACATTCATAATAGAAAACAACTCTTTATTGGCAACTTCACTGAACTATGGCATAACAGTACTGTGATAATGGTGATCGCTAACTTTTGATCAGCTACGCATTTAAAATAATAATAATAACATGAAAATGCTTATGATTAGCTTTCGGTTTGTTTTAAATGCCAGTAAAGTGCTCGTTTCCTCTACACACCATCGATTCCTGGCTGTGATCTCAATTCTGTTGATTTTTCTCAGTAATAATCTTCAAACCGTTCCCGTTCACGCTTTTTCTTAACAGCAGCAAGTAAATAACTCAAGATGCTCAGGTTGTCATGGCGATAAAGCGACCCTGCCTCCAGTTTTCAGCTTTTTGTTGCAGATGCGGTAACTGTTACTATAGTCAGCTAGCTAGTTTTCTCAAACTCCGTTATTTTATTCGTAGCTAGCTAACTACCGAGCTACATGAATTTTAACCTCATGATGTAGCTTTCACAAGCTAGCTTTATTTATTACTTTAAGCTATTAGCAATATTAGCCAGCTGTTTATGTTTAGCTAGCTTTAGCAAGCCAGATTAAAATATTTTTCAAATCATTTCATTCTGGCACGAGTATGATGTGATGCGCTGCATGGGATTTTTGAGTACACTGTGCAGGAAGTCATGTGACTGATTTTAGCCAGTAGAACAGTGTGTATGATATCAACAGGGAACGCCACAATCACACCATCAGCATCGGCTGTTTTGTGGTGGTGTCTCTCTCTCTTTCTCTCTTTCTGTGTTTCTCTTTTCCTGTCTGTCTCTCTGTCTCAGTTGTTCTCTGTCTTTCTGTCAGTCACTCTGTCTCTCTGTTTTTCTGTCTCGTTCTGTTTGTTTCTGTCTTTCTATCTCTTGTTCTTTGCCTTGCTCTCTCTGTTTCTCTCTACCCCCCGTGCTTCTTTTACTGTCTATCTCTCTGTCCATCTATTTGTCACTCTCTCTCTGTCTGTCTGTCCATCTGTCTGTCTCTCTCTCTCTCTCTCTCTCTCTGTCTCTCTCTGTGACAGTTTCAGATTAAACACCAGCACCGTGTCTGTGGAAAATGATTAAATAATTATTAAAGATTTCAGTGCACTTATTACAGGAAAACGTCCATCACGATGTTCAGTCTCGATTTAAACAAGGCGAGGATTCAGAAACAAAATCACACACGCTTGTATTTGCACAGTGCTTTTTCCTGTTAATGATTATAATAATAGTGTTGATGTTAATGGGGGGATTTTGGAGTGCAATGGCCACTACAAGTCTCTCTCTCTCTCTCTCTCTCTCTCTCTTTCTTTCTCTCTCTAAAGCGCAGTATTGACGTGATGGTGATTTCTCATAGGGAGTTCATTTAAGATTTGAAAAGAGGACTTTACAGCATTAATTGCGTTTCTCCCCTCTTATTCTCGTTTTTGTTTGTTTTTCATTCTTAAATGGAGAAGTGATGTGTGGTTTTTTTTGTTTGTTTTTTTTTCCCAGTTTGGACATACTTCCTGTTAAGTACTTGTTTTTTTTAAAATGTATTCAGTTTGAAAGGTGATAGTCGGTGTGTTTTTTGTGCACTAAGATAAATGTTTTGGGGGAAGACAAGTGGTTAAATATAATATAAAAATGATAGGGAAGAGAAGATGGTTGTAGTGATGGCGCCCCCTGGTATCCACCGTGTGTCAGCACAAGAGAGAATAGAACCACCATTTGTACTTGATTTGGAGGCAACAATGACGATTACAGAGGAGAAATCATTTGATTGGCTGACGCCGCTGTCAGTCACTCGTTCTCCAAAGGAGAATTCATTCTTTTTCTTTCTTTCTTGCTTGAACATTGTTGCCTCTTTGACATTTGTCATTTCTTTTCACTGATATGTCATAATTTTATTTTGTTTTTAATTTTGTGGGTTTTTTTCTTCTTTAATTTATAATTGGATGTCAGGGAACATATTCCAAAACACAAACAAAATTTGTATAAGTGGGTTTCACGTTCTTTGAACTCAATAAATGGAGGTAAAACAACTTACTGCCTTATTTGTGTGTGGGTTTTTTTTTTTATTATTATTATTATTATTTTTGGCATACTTTGAGTTGTTGTTGCTGTTCCTCTTTCAGCTGCTCCCATTAGGGGTCGCCACAGCGGCTCATTGGTCCGCGTATTTGATTTGACGCAGTTTTTACACCGGAAGCCCTTCCTGACGCAAACCTCCCCAATTTTATCCGAGCTTGGGACCGGCACTGAGAGCGCACTGTTGCACGCAACAGTTGGTTCCCTGGTCAGGAATCAAACCCGGGCCACAGCGGTGAGAGCGCTGTGACCTAACCACTAGTCCTTTTCAATAACAGCATGTCCTGGAGTGTTTTTCCTCCCTCTGTTTCCATTTTCTTTTATTTCTTTTTTACTTTTTGTGCCTTACTAACTACATTTAATGTTGTGGAATGTCCACAAAACAGTTAGTTTCTATTTTTACGTTGTTATTATACTGTTATCTAAATATTTGCAAGTTATTCTGAATACTCTGAAAGGCTTCAAATAATGGGATAATTTATCGTGTACGCTTAAAGCAGATTTTTCGTGATTAAGAGCTTTTTTTGGCATGTGAGAAACAACAGTTTGACTGGAGAGACTTTTAAGTGTAGAGTATAACCTGTACATCTGTGACAGAAATCTATAAACTGTCAGCTTTTTGTTTAGCGACACGCATTTCAAGACTAAATAGACGAGATGAGAGCAAAAACAGTTTAACGTCTCCGTGGATAAACATTAATTTTACATTATAAAAGTTTTACCTCAGTGTGCAACCATTTATTGGTATAAGGGGTTTTTTTTTTCTGAAAAGCATAAATCAAAGCAGATTTGCTGTCATCTATGCACTGGTACAAAAACTAATTTGCATTTAAATGAGGGAAACAATACTGGTACTTGAAATTCAGTATTTGTTACAAAACTTCCTGAAATTCCGCTTTAGGCTCAGTCATAACATTCATTTTGTAGCGTACGGTATCTTGTTTTGTCTAAGCTGTATAAATGTGCAGCAGTGAAGACAAAATTTCTTCATGAATTTATTGAAATCAGTGATCTGGATTCAGCTACTAGATGAGATGGAAAAATGCAAAACTGATAGATGGAGTTAAAACGTTTATGTTGATGTTTACGACACAAATCATTTTTGGAAGGCGGCTTGATTTGAAAAAATTTTGTAAGCACTTTTTCTTTAACTTTTTTTATTTAATTTTAGTGCTCTTGTAAATGTTATGTGTAAAAAATTTTTTATTCCAATCTCTCTGACCTCCAAGGCAACACAAAGTCCACTTGACCTATTAAATAATAAAACAGATTTTATTATAGCACTGGACTTTTAATCAATGAAAGGGACGCATTGAAAGGGAAGTCGACAAGGATGTGTTTAGAACCAATAAGCACTACAATGTTTAATGTATTAGAGCTTTATTCAATTTATTTTTAAAGGAGAGGAGGAGAGTCTTTCAGTGCCCTCGCTCCTCCTGCCTCCAGCCGATGGGGGTTGAGAGGGGAGGTCCTCCTCCATATGTGTTGTAGAGCCAGAAGACGAGTGTGAGGAGGAAGCAGGGCAAACCCATGTGCAGGTTGGAGAGGAGCCACAACAGCAGCAGCCACAGGCTGATCTGTACCAGCAGCACAGGCCATGACTGGTTACCCATGATGCTCTGCTTCAGTGTCACAACGGCATGGTGCATCCAGGAGAATAAAGCACTCTGCTTCAGCCAGGTCACCACACGTCTGAGGACGGAGCGGACGCCCACCGTGGAGCTCGACTGGGAAAAGAACAAGGTACTTTGGTTAGACAGCAGAGAGAACAGATTATAAAGATAACAGGAATAAAACACTTGGGGGTGTGATATTATAGTAAAATAATCAGCGATGTGGTGGTGTGATAACGCAGACTTACCACAGTGTTTTATTCCTATTATACCACAGGAATTTGTCAGCAGTTACAATGTTTTTCATTAACAAACAATGCATCAGTTTTTAGTTAGATGTATTGTTGTAGAACACCCATGAAACAAGTTAGTTCCTGTTCTCGTTTACGTTAAAGTAGCTATAAATGGTCATATCCTCACCATCCTCTCTCTTCTCTCTCAGGAAAAACAGATTGTCATGTTGCCTAGAAACCACAAAGTGTAAACTCCTCTATCCTGAAGATGTCGTAAAACTTAGTTACAGCTTTACCTCTGTCTACTGCAATGCACTGACACCGGAGAGTCCTTCTTTAAACGTTAAATAAACACCCCCTTACAGAAAACTTTATCAACCGTACCAATGATTGCACACGTTTTTTTTTTTACATGAAGTTTACGTGAAGTCCCTGTGAATGAGCTGTTACTATAGAAACGATAACGTATTAGAACGAGCGCATTAATATAAACCTGTGATTTGCAGCTGCACGACTGTCAGAGCTGCTGTTCTAGAAAATGAATCAACACCTTCTGACCAATGTGATATCTCTCAGGATGATGATGATAATGATAATAATGGTTCAGGTGATCTTGTAAAACAGAACAGAGAAGCTTTTTCTGCCAGTATCTCCATGTGTAAAAGTGATGAGTAGTGATGTGTTTGGTGTCGTCTTGCGGTTTCAGGATCACCTGTTGATCTGCTGTTAGTTGAGAACTCGGTCCGACACTTTCTCTGTGCGCTGGACTGTTCTTTACGTTGGCTTTATGTTTCGAAGTCTGGTCTTTTCTCCTGGTTCTCACTTCCATATTACAATTTCCTGGGGAATATATATTGATCTAATTTATGTCATTTAGCTGAAATCTTTATTTAATGTGTATAAAAAATTACCTGTCACATCAGATTTGATAACTTTATCATGGCGTGATGTGATAACGACAGATCTTCCTCCAGCTTTGTGCATAATGTTTTGGGGAAAAATCTAATTCTCCCAAATTACTTCAAATATTATCAACTGATCAAGACATATTTGACTTTTTTGTAAAGAGCAGACATGTGCAGATGTACATAGTATCACAATATTAAAATTACTTCCAAATACCATCATGATTCTTTTGTACCAAATGGTAAGAGGCTACCTAAATAGGCATCATATTTTGGGTGGTATTTGTGTTCCTGTGATAAAGTTTGTCCCAGAATAAGGACAGTTGTCTTTAAGGTTCTTTATTATGAACAAATTTGAAAAATATGAAAAGGGGATCCCACAATACTAACCATTTTTATTATATAATGGTATTGTGAAAATAGAAATAGACAAATGTATGTATGACTATTAACAAAAATGGACACTGATTAACAACAATAACATTGTGGTAATGCTGTGTTGAAATGAAATATGGGGTGTAAGTGGGAAATTTGAATTTAATTCCTTTTTTTTAATGATGTAATTTTCCTACAGTATCTCGCTATAAAGCAGGTCTTTTTTTCCTTCAAATCAGGGATTAATTGTCACTTCTAAATGGCCAAAATGGTGGTACCGGGAATCTGCTGGATTGGAACCAGTAACATCAAGAGTAGAAACAAAACTGAAATATTGACAGCTTGAATAGCTTGCATTTAGCTAAATCATTTTAGTATAATGAGCTAGTATTTATAACAGTGTTAATGTTTGGTTTACTCCATCTGAGCAAAGTTAAACATAAACTGTTTTTGGAAAATTATTTCCACCGTAATATGGATATATATTTTGGAGAAACATGACCACTGAGGAGAGTTTTGAATTTTTTTTTTAATGAATAAATATTCCATAAAAGAAACACATTTGCTGGATATTTTACCATTGCTTTTATATGTTGAATAAATGAGTGGTAAAATGTTCTTAAAGACAAATAAAAGTAACTTGGGTTATATATTTTTTTCCTGTCAGCTCTGAGTATCCAGTGTGTGACGCAGTGATGACGTTTTTTCAATATGGCGGAACCGGTAGAAGTTCGGTTAAAGGTTGATGCTAAGAGTAATTATAGTCTCATTTTTAGTCGTAAATATGTCTTTTACTGGTGATTTAACAACACATCTGAGGGAAATGTTGATGTTTCCTATGTTTTTATCTTATTTTCACTTTCACTCTGTCTTTAAATGTAGCGTATAAAATACTTTTTTAATCCATGCTAAGGAGTTCATGCTCGCGGTGCATGTTTCCCAGTTGCCTAGCAACAGTGTTCTCATGGCTTCAACCACTACCTGAACTGCCAGTGTATAACATTCTCCTTCATATATTAAAAAATTATTCATCATTAAATTTGCAACAGTGGGTTTGTGTGATTAATTTGTGTCATAAGATATAAATAGATAAATATATAAAGACTAATATATTTTCATTAAAAATTATTTAAAAAATACACCTGTATGAAATTTGCTATACTTCAGAGATCAGATTAATCATTTTAGAAGTTATTAATATGTGCTTCTTATAACTCTTATAGAAAATATATTGAATTAAGTAAGAAATAAAACCGTAAAAAAGAAGAGAAAAGTGACAAGTGCTTAAATACGAACCTGTGTATACTCCAAGACAGCAGGGGGCGATGTGGCTCACTGCAACACTGCTACTACGAAGGTTCCATCCAAAATCGCTTCCTGTTGGTCACCTAGCAGACTAAGTATAGCCTAGAACACATGTATGTTGTACCCTACTTAGGGTGCCTATGTAGGGATATAGGGATATTTGGGACTGTGCGTGATTTCTTACAGTGTGTTGTTTTTCCGGCTGAAGATGTGTCACTTGAACACAGTTGAAGCAGAGATAACAGTTTGGAGCACATCTGCAAGCTTTATGTCTTAATTATTTTTACTAAATTAACTAGAAAACAGTTTAGAGACAGACTTTTCCCCTCTATTACATTCGGGTCACACTTTATCCGCTGTCTGACAAGTCGTAGCTCTTCATTAATGATCAGGTTAGCTGCTCATTAGCCGTTAGCTCTCAGCGCTCTTTAATTCAGGATGTCCTGCAGTTTGCTGGATTTTTGCCGCGTTCAAGAGCTCAAACAAGTCCGGGATTTTCTCTTAAACAGTCAGAAAAATCCCTCCACAGATGACAACAAAGAGCAAACAGGTAACGCTAAGCCTAACTAGCTAGGTATGGCAGATTTTAGTTAGCTATCGAGCTAACCCCCTTTTTTTAAGTTACAAAATATTCTGTTATCCATAACGCTTTATAAATCGTGTATTTAGATGTTGAACAATGATACATATTACTCAAGAATCTAACTAAAGTAATGTCAACATTAAACTAGCTAGCTAATCGTGATGTGTGATACGACTCACTTTAGTGAATCGATTCTTATGACCTAATAAGTTAGTGCATGAGTTTGATTCATTTGATTCACTAGTCAGTGATTCATA